TGGGGCATGGTTGAAACTTCCAATGCTCTATGCAGTTTATTATCTGGGTATTTTGTTACAGTGACAGAAAGCTGAGTAATAAGCAGACTGTTGACTGGGAACAAAGACAGGGTTCCTACCTGTCTCTTGCAGGAAATCTTATTTTTGCTCTGGATGACTTCGATGGACTGAATGACCAATGGGCTTTGATGGACATTACAGAGGTGATCACCTTGACTCAAAGGGTATGGGCTATGGTCCGTTCAGCCCATCCACAGAATGCCTCCATGGCAACGTCAAGATTGATGTCTGTCCCAACAGCAGGGCAACACAGCCTAACTGGACATATGGAATGTAGCCATGACAAGCTCAAATATGCTCTGTGGTTCAGTTCAAACCCCTTTGGAAAGATGGCCCATCAGTGCGGATGGTAAGGGCTCCCTGCTGCATGACACATCCTCACCCTCAGGGCAACTTTCTCTTCCATATTTCATAAGATCCTCATCTGCTGTTAAGTATCAATGAGCTGATTTCTTTTCGCGGCACTCTCAAGCGGTCCTGCGCAGTGATGACACCCCTGTGCCTCCCCAGCAAGTCCAGAGCACACTATCTATTCCAGCTCTTCACTCCACAAGTCTCCTCCCTTTTCTCCAGGCTTACTATCTCACTGTCCTGATTTCAAGAAGAATTCAGAGGAGGATCTGTTCAAGGAAAACTACTGATGCTGAGCATGATGACACTCTATGACTCCAGCACTCGGGGAGGCTGAGGCTGCCAGGTTACAAGATGGAGCCCAGCCTCTTGGGCAACTTGGTGTGACGCTGTCTCAAAATCAGGGCAGATGCTGAAAGAGGCAAGGGAGGTAGCTCAGTGGGAAAGCACTAGGTACAATCCCCAGTGCTTCCCCCTCAAGCACTCACAGCAAAAATAAATGGTAACTTGAGAACTTGATCCATGTGCAGTGAAGACCACTGATGCTGGAGCAAGCTTTCCGGGTTCAAGGTCCTTTCTAGAACTTACTGCCTGTGTGACTTTGGCCATGCCGTGTGCGGTACTCCTGAGCCTCAGTTTCCTCGCCTGCAACACAAGTATAATAATATTCCCTTCTGTAGAGGCTCACCATGAGGTGATTTGAACACTGCACTGTGCACTTAGTAACAGGGGCGGTTCATTTTGACCGTCAATGTCATTAGCCTGAGAGACAGCTGGCAGATGAACACAGAACACTCTGGATGTGTCTGGGTGGACCAAGGAGGCACGACCCTGGGGACTGTACCTGGCCCCCGGCCCCTGCGCCTTTGCTGTTGTCTCTGCTTCCTGGAGCAGCTTTGCCCCTTGTCCTTCTGCCATTCTCCCAGTATTTCCTCTGCCCCTCCCAGTATTCGGGATTGACCTCAGCCCTTTGCACTGAACTCTACCATCTTTTGATTTTGTGTCTCTGAGTGGCCCAGGATGGCTTTGAACTTGTGACCCTCCCACCTCAGTTTGTCAGAATTTTGGAGTTATGGCATATGCCACCACGCCAAGCTTCTTTTATGTTATGTCAGGTGCTTTGTCCCTGTGAGGAACACTAATATAGTAACTCTTTATTTAACTGTTACAGCGCTGAGGATTGTCTAGGGCCTGGGAGAACCTCACTGTGAAGAAGAACTACACGTATCACTGAGATCGCGTAACACCACAGGAAGATCTGGTCTGCGCCTTGGTGTCCACAATGGTTTCTATTCAAGATTGTGAGACTTTTACATTTTCCTTCTTTGCATACCTCAGGGGCTGGAAGCCAGAGTGTGATATTACTGAGAATCCTGAAATAATTCACACCTGAAATATTTCATCAGAGTAAGAGACATAATGTTTAATGAATGCTATTTGTCACTTCACATGCATGGCCTCCCTTAAGGCTCATAACATCCTCAGATTTAAAGAAGAAAATAGGCACTTAACAAAATTTGAGTAATTTGCTCCAAATCACACAATATTATAAAGGTTTCCCTGCTTCAAAGCCACAATTATTGACAGTTACAACCTAAAGTTGTTCTCAAAGGGGTAGGATCTTGTTCCATTTCTTGTGGGCTGCAGGTGCCTACATTATCAAAAATTACTTTTCACCTACATATTTCTTTTTCTTTACAAAACTGAATAATCAATTCTAGAATGCTGCTCTGGGCAATCAATGCAGGTAGGGAACTGTAAGAGGACAGGAGACTTTAAATTGAACATGCTTGAATTATAAAGCCAAAGGGCCTACAGGAATGAACAGGTGTTTGTAATGCCTGACTTTCCATTTGTTTCTAAAGAAACTCACTGTTTACAGAGGATGTCAGTGAAAGATGCTGAGAAAGGCCTGCTTTCTATCTGTTTTGCTTCCAGTACATATTTGATAGCAATAGTTTCCAACATAAGTTAAAGAAGCTCAAAAGTAAATTTGAGAAGTACCATAGGATGACTACAGTGAGTAACGTGGCTGTGACAGAATTCATCACAACAAGGATGGTCACGGCCCACGAGTTGGGAGTTGCGGCTGCAGATCCCTAACAGGCTTCCTTATCCACCTACCCATCACCATCCATCTGGTAAGCAAACACACAGAGGACAGAGACATGCTATGTACTAGGAAAACACTATGACTCAAGTCTGTAAAGGAAACTGAGAGTCTACTAACTGAATAGAAAGATGCATAAGGCAAGTTACACTATCAGGTCCTCACAGGTGAAATACAATGCGAAGCAACAGGGTTTCTGGTCGAGGTGCCATTGAGGTAGGGTGGCCAGGTGACACTGTTGAGCAACAGGGATCTGAGTTGAGACCTGAGTGACAGTGTGTCAGAGATCCAACCCTCACCCCAAGTCCTAACCCCTAATCCATGACGTAGGCTTGGAAAGTGCTACCAGGTCAGATACCAAATCAGACTGAAGACAGCAGAGCTATTTACAGAGCTGACACGCATATAGGTAGGACCCGTTCTTTGTCAACAGGGATTAAGTTTACAAACAAATAGGAAGTTAGTTCACATTTCTGTTTTCCTGTGGGTCTTTATAATTCAAGCATGTATAATGTGCTTGAGGAAGGAGTGTGGATGTAGGGATAATGTTTTTTTTTTTTTGTTTTTTTTGTTTTGTTTTGTTTTGTTTTCTTTTTCAGATCCGGTCATTGAACTCAGGCCCTTGCTCTTGCCAGGGAAGTGCTTATTCCACTGAGCCTTCTCCCCAGCCTCAGGGATAATGGTTTTATAGCACAGGCCTGAGCAGGAGGTAAGGTGACTTCTGCTAGCTTTAAAACTGTCAATCAAGATGCTTCCTGGAAAGCTGCCCATAAAGGGGTAAGCAGAAGTAGGGACACCCCTCACAGTGAGATTACAGAGGCTGAGGAGAGAAAGGCTCTGAAGACTCACCTGAAATCCCCAATGGTTCAGGGCACTTCACTGGTTAAAGGAAGCTGAATTTATTTTAATAACTTCATTTCCGTGCAACATACCTGCTACAATGTAAATTGTGTCATTATTATTTTGTCAGAGGTAGGGAGAACATGGCTATGGATTAGAAATGATGTATACACCACTGAATATAAAAAAGGGAAGGCCAGTATCTATTGTAGAAGAGCTGGTCCTCCCTAAGGAGCAGACCAGTACTCTAGGAAATGAATGCTTCTCTCTGAGTGGAATGCAGAATTGCAGAAATCATTTGCAAAATAAGGCAGGGCCTCCTTAAGAGGGCAGAGCCTCCTGCCTCAGGGCCTAAGTGTACTTATTAGTGGCCATCTATCAACTTCTACCAATCATTATGCATGACTGAAGGGACCCCTGCCACTGGCTCAACCAGAAGCCAGTTAGGGTATTCTGGCAGCGGTGGCCCTGCCTGCAAACTTTGCAGCTTGGAGCTGCTTGCGTGCTGTGGGTCACCAGGGCAGTAAGGCCTCAGCTCCTCAGTCTCCCTTCCCCTTACTCAGCATCACAAAACATCCTGGAAACCTTAGGATGGCGGTGGATGCAGCAAAAGGCAGCCCTATCTATTGTCATTCCTGGTGGCAGCAGGGAGTGCCAAGCTCGCCTGTCGCTAACTAGAGCGCAGGATAATAAACCGGGTCTGCACCATGTGCGTGGCAGATTTCTGGGCTGTCTAGAAGGGTTTTCCAAGTTCCGCCTTCTCACTCCTTCGCAGCATCCCGGTCCCAGCTGTTCCTGGGCCTCTGACTCCATCTGTCCTTCCGCTGGGGACGAGTCTTTCTCCCTGAATGGAGGACACAAGTTTGGCTCCCCGAAGGGATCCTATGCCCCACCTTCTCCATTCAGCTGGAGCGGGGGCCAGGCCTGCAGGAGGAACCTCGGAGAGGTTAAATCCAACTACAGCAAGGACTGCGCGCCTCCCGCCTCTCTGCCCTGGCCGGCACCGCCCGCGCGGGTCTCCTGGCCCCTTCCTTTGGGCTCCTCCTCCACCCTGCTGCAGAGCCGCGGCTCGCGAGGTGGAGGGCGCCCTCGTGGGCGCCGCGTCACGCGCGGGGAGGGCCGGGGGCCGGGCCAGGGCAGCTGCGTGCTCCTCCGAGCTGGTCCCGGGAGTGGCCGCGCCCCCGCCCGCCCTCCCCGCGCGTCCTTTCCTCGGCGCGCGCTTTCATTAATTTCCTCCTTCTGGACCAAAGAAATAATGCACCTGACTTTACCAGCGAGAAGCGCCCAGCCAAGCAGAGGGAGGATCAGATGTAGAAGGAGTAAGAGGAGAGAGAAAGCGATTAGACTCGTTTAAAATAATCGGGGGTAGCAGAGGTGGCCGGCACCGCAGAGAGGCAGAGGCGGCGACAGCACCCCGTGCGCCTGCGGAGCTGGAGGTAGAGGCCGCGCACCGCTTGGCAGCTGCAACCCCGGGAACTCGAGGGTCTGCCGGGTTGTTTACCAAAGTCCTTCCTGCCTAGACTCACACTCTGAAGAGGCTCCGGGATTGTTCTGGGCTCCCACTGCAAGCTGACAGTTGTCGGGGAGGCTTTTCTGGGCGCTGGCGGTGAGAGGAGCCTTTCTGGGCAGCAGGCGAAGGATGAGCGCACCGCGTCAGCAGCCAGGGGTCCCTGTCCCCAAACGCCTCCTGCTCCCCGGGAGGACAGAAGCCCCCAGCGGGCGGCGGGGCGGCGGCGCCCGGGCGCAGCGCAGCTTGCTTGGGCTTCTCGTACACGCGTGGCTGTGGGCAGCCTCGGGCTCGTCCACGCAGGTGTCAAACCTCAGCCTCTCGGTGGACGAGGGGCTTCCACCCGACACGCTGGTCGGGGACATTCGCGCCGCGCTGCCCGCGCCCCAGCAGGAGGCAGGCGGCTTCTTTCTGTCCGAGGACTCGGCCGACTCCCCGCTGCTGGACGACTTCCACGTGCACCCGGACACCGGCGTCATCCGCACGGCGCGGCGCCTGGATCGCGAGAGGCGAGAGCGCTACAGCTTCGTGGCCGCCACGCTGCGGGGCGCCGTGGTGCAGGTGCACATCCGCGTCAACGACGTGAACGACCACGCGCCCCGCTTTCCCCGGGACGAGTTGCAGCTCGAGGTCTCCGAGCTCACTCCGCCCGGCACAGCCTTCCGCCTGCCAGGGGCGCGGGACCCGGACGCCGGGCCGTTTGGCACCCAGGGCTACACCCTGCTTCCTCCTCCCCAGCCGCCCGGGGACCCGGCTGAGCCCTTCTTCCGGCTGCGTTACGGGTCGCCCGGACCGCCGCCGTCGCTCCTGGAGCCCCTGGACTTGGTGCTGCTGCGGCGCCTAGACCGGGAGGCAGTGGCAGCGCACGAACTGCACGTCGAGGCGTGGGACGGCGGCAGCCCGCGGCGCACCGGCCGCCTGCGGGTACTGCTGCGCGTGCTGGATGAGAACGACAACCCGCCTGTGTTCGAGCAGACCGAGTACCGCGCCGCTGTGCGCGAAGACGCCCCGCTGGGGGCCGAAGTGTGTCGCGTGCGTGCCACTGACCGCGATCTGGGGCCCAACGGCCTCGTGCACTACAGACTCCGAGTCAGGCCAGGGACAGGGGCAGACAGCGAGGCCCCGGCGGCCGAGGCACACTTCGAGGTGGAGGAGCTGAGCGGCGCGGTGCGGGTGCGGAGACCGCTGGACCGCGAGGCGCAGGCCTGGCACCAGCTGGTGGTCGAGGCCCGCGACGGAGGCGCCGAGCCCGAGGTCGCCACGGTGCGCGTGTCGGTGGCTGTGCTGGATGTGAATGACAACCGGCCCACCATTCACCTACTGTTCCTCACCGAAGGGGGCGCGGCGCAAGTCTCAGAGGGCGCTGCACCTGGGGACTATGTGGCTCGGGTCTCCGTGTCAGACGCAGACAATGATTGTGAGGAGGAGGCTGCTGGCACTCTCGGTATGGGCCCAGGTGTCGGCAGCATCTCGCTGGCCTTGGAGGGTGGCGAGGGAGCCTTCGTGCTGCAGCCCGGGGGCTCCCCGGGGGTGTTTTTCCTCTGCATTGAGGGTGCCCTGGACCGAGAAAGTCGCGATCTCTATGAGCTGCGGCTAGTGGCTGTTGATGCTGGATTCCCGCCCCTGAGCACCCAGGAGACACTGCTGCTGCAGGTCTCTGACCTCAATGACCAGCCTCCGGTCTTCAGCCAGGAGCACTACTGGGCCTCAGTGTCCGAGGCTGCAGCCCCTGGCGCCACGGTCCTGTGGGTCAGCGCCACCGATGCCGACGAGGGTGGCACTGATCACTCCCGGGTGCGCTACGCCCTTGTTCAGCTCTCAGCTTTCTGCAGCCCAGAGGCCTCGCAGCCCAGTGCTGAGTGTGGGCCATCTTTCACCATCCACCCAGAAAGCGGAGTGATCAGCACCATTCGAACTCTGGATAGAGAGGTCCAGCAGGCGGTGGAGCTCAAAGTAGTGGCCCAGGACCTCGGAGAGCCCCCCCTCTCCGCCACTTGCCTGGTGAGTGTCACTGTGGATGACGTGAATGACAACGAGCCCATCTTCCGGAGGCAGGTGTATAATGTCACAGTGGCAGAGCACACCCCAGTGGGACACTGCTTTCTGCAGGTGAGTGCCTTCAGATGTGTGGGGTGCGGGAAACAGCAAGACCTGCAAAGGGATGGAGGGCTTGGATCTGCCTAGGAAAACTACCATCTGGTTGTTTGTACCCAGGCTGAGGAAGCAGGGGACATGGGCTGTGCATCGCGCTCTGCCGTGGGGCGAGTACACTGATCCCCTCATTTTTCAACCAGGGTCTCAGATGGTGCGTGGTCTCTAAGGTCCCTTCTCACTCATGTGACATTTGGGTCTTCGTTTCTGTCATGGAAGCCCAGTTTCTGTCATGTTGGATGTGTGTTCAGGGATTTATGTGCGATGAATCACCCACTGTACGCTTTGCATGCAGTCAGCAACTTCCTTTTTTTGTACTTTTCAGCACTTTCCTATGGCATCTCAAGGCCCAGGCTGTCCTCAGTGGAGGCGTTTTCAAAGGACCTTGTGTATGTCTTTTAACAATGGAATTGTTTTGAGTAGCCAACTCCTTACTTTTTCTACCTCCTTTACAAACTTGGGAAGGTTGGTTGAAGATCTCAAGTCATGGTACTTAGTATCCTTTGTGCACCGAGAGCTCCGGGGATGCACTGGGGACTTGGAGGAGCAGTGCAGCTCAACCATCCTTTATAAAGCATGGCTCCCACTCTCACCTTTTGATTTAGGTGTGTCACCCCTTTTAGAGTTCTCCAGCTCCCTCTTGCCAGTTGGAATGTGGGGTTCTAGTCCCTGCTGCCTGTCTCTTATTATTGCTTCCAGTTTTCTGTTTCTTCCCTGGTGTCTGATGACCCGATTTCCAAGACTGATTGATTTATGCCAAGGCAACTTGAGTAGGTAAGTAGAAGCTACCTGCGAATGGGTGAATGACTCTCTGAGCTTAAGCTTTGTGTTGCCCTCAGCCTGGACCATCTGCAGAGCTCTGTGCAGACACCAGCTTGTAGTTTTCAGCTAAGGCCGTAGCTTGGTAAATTATGTCTCAGGTAATAGTTTTTAGATAAATGAAGTGTTACTATAATAGATTTCATGATTGCTGCCAACATTTTTCTCCTTTGGGTATGTGGGTAACAGTAGTCTCCATTCTTTTCTCCAGTGTGTCTGGGAACTCCTGAGTTGTTAGATTATTAAAAGGTGGTTTGAAAATTAATGAATGCTTGCTGCTAGACAGACAAAGCCACAAAACTCAGTGGCTGGCACCATCCAAATGTGCTTATCTCTCAAGCAATATGTCCTGTGGTATAAACGGGCTGCCACCCTCCAGTTAAGATGGAACCAGACTTGAGAGGGACTTATGTTATTTCCACCAATGCCAATCTAGCCTGAGCTCAGCCATCCTACAAGGGAGGCTGAGATGTGGAAAGGAGCCAGTGGACACCCAGTGACCAAGGATGGCTTTTGTCATAGGTTTTTGATAAAACAGATGAAGTGATGTCCAAGATTTATTCCATCTAGATTTGTTGCCATCTGCAGCAGAATAACAGAAAGGATTACTTATGATTCTGTATTATTACCTGTCTTTAGAGTTGGTTCAGAAATCGTGAGGAGGTTGTGCCACAAGGTGTGAGCTTGTCCTATTGCTATGACTTGGGATGTGGTAGGTGGGTCACACTGAGATAAATGACATGCACATGTCCTTCTAGAGACTGACAGAAACTTTCCAGGTTGCCAAGTCTTGCTGCAAGTGGCACTGAATTGTACTGATTAGAGTTGGGGGACATTCCAGGGATCTGGCCTCTCCCAACTGGCAGAAGCTGGCTCGCTCTCTGGGCCCTGCTGCCTCTCTGGAGCAACTGTACCAGCTTCCGATGGCCGTGGCCCTCACTCATTCTGCCCCTTAATTATCAGGGGAGCTTCCAAGGAGCATTGCCCATGTCACCCTCATGCTCATTCCATGTATTGGTTTGCACAAGCTAACTTCCTTCCTTAGTCTTTGGATTTCACAGCCTCTTATTTCTTCCCAGGTTCTGTATCATTGTCTTGTATCGATTCCTCCTAACTGTACCTTTTCTCCTGCACACTGTCAGTTTTCTCTTTAGCCCTCATCTCTGCTGCAACATCTGTCAAAATGAAACAAAAACCAAATGAAAAACAACAGGGAAAACATGTTTCTGAAGTTTCTGGAAAAGAACAACCCCTAGCATCTAAGTTTTAAAAAGCGTTGACCTACGTTTTTAGAAAAGCATTAGCAAGGGGCC